AGACGCTACAATCAATGCATCGCAAGTTCAACCCAAACTGTAGCCGAGGTGCACTCTTTCAACCGGTGCACTCGCATCTTGAACGTTTATGCCGTTGCACCGATGCGAATCGGTGAATCTTAACATCCCTAGTCTACTTGCGTGTGAGATTAACACACACAATACGTCAACACTTGTAATGTTTTTATGATCCTGATTGGCGGAAGTCTTTTTCAGCAGTTTTATTCTGCTGGTATATTTTGGCTGACTGAACCGAGATAAGAAAGTAATCCATTGATATTTATCATAGCTAATATTTAATTAGAGAACACTATAGGCAGACAGACATACACAGAGGACTATTCACAAAAACAGAGCAAGATATAGCTGGGGAGGGCAGCAGCTGAACACAATCAGACAATCACACAGGCGGGAAAACACAAAGACAGGAAGTAAAACCAGACAAGACAAAATGAGAAAAGGCATTTCAAAATAAAACCAGGAAACAAAACTGAGATCATGACACTAAGGAGTGAAATAACCCGGGAGTACCTACATTTTGTTTGAATGGTGATATGTACACTGGTAGATGTAGTCGTGTATATGCCTTAGTGGTCCTAAAGTATTATTTATTCAAATTGTTTCATACAATCATCCAAATTGGGATCCATGTCGGTTAATACCAGTGGACAGGAAGGCGAGGACCCATTTACTTTGACCTTCCATATTTAAATTCAATCCTTGGTAATGAAGTTACATATTTGTAACGGTTGTCAACGTTTATAAAGCCAGCATCAAACAAAATGATAACAACAAAATATCTAGATTTAAGAAGTCCATCCATTAAAAATGTTAGTTTTCCACAGCAGACGCACATTAATACAATCCGCTGTACATCATAATGACATCTCCAAGCGATTCTCTTAGCACAGAAGTTCTCTCCAAAAATCCTGAAGAATTCTCCTTCACACCTTTCCTTGAGCCCAAGACATTTTTCACAGAGGTTAAAGCAAAGTGGTCAGGAAGAGATAGGACCGGATCTTTTTTGACAATTCCAGATTATTTCCTGTTTGTCTCTGTATGGATGGAGATAATGTGAGTTATTTCTTCATGATTCCTCACAGAGAGGACCAGCAGAGCTCAGAGGCTCCCAGAGGTCAGTCTGCCCAGCAGCATCAGACACAGCTGGACTCCATATTTATGGTCTGTACATGAACTACAGCTACTTTACATCTGTTATTGTCACAATTATTTCCAAGATGCACTTTTTAGAACATTGGATGGTCAGTCTGACCAAGTCTAATGATTGGTGCCTTTAGTTTAAAGGTTTTGTTCATGTATTCTGTTCCAGCTGCTGGAGGAAGAAATCATCACTTTTGTGAAGAACGAGTTGAAGAAGATCCAGAAGGCTCTGAGTTCAGATTACCCAGAATGCTTAGAGTGTCAGAGGGAGGATGAGGAGGTGTTGGATGGTGAGGATGAAGAGCAGAGGAGGAGCAGCAGAGAGGCCTTTCTGAACATCACTCTGCACTTCCTGAGGAGCATGAAGCAGGAGGAGCTGGCTGACCGTCTGCAGAGCAGTAAGAGGGTTTCTATAGAGATTTAACAAGCTGGATAAATGTTGACTAATGTCTCAAGAGATGGAGCAAAGTATGTTCAGATCTTCATTCTTTAAGGATGTATTTGGAGTTGAAATGTCTTGACGTATTGATCTGATTTGTTGTGTGTTCATTCAGGAAGTCATTCTGGAGTGTGTCAGCGTAAACTTAAGTCTAACCTGAAGGAGAGGTTCCAGTGTGTGTTTGAGGGAATTGCTAAAGCAGGAAACCCAACCCTTCTGAACCAGATCTACACAGAGCTCTACATCACAGAGGGGGGGTCTGCAGAGGTCAATGATGAACATGAGGTCAGACAGATTGAAACAGCATCCAGGAAACCAGACAGACCAGAAACAACCATCAGACAAGAAGACCTCTTTAAAGCCTCACCTGGAAGAGATGCACCAATCAGAGCAGTGATGACAAAGGGCGTGGCTGGCATTGGGAAAACAGTCTTAACACAGAAGTTCACTCTGGACTGGGCTGAAGGCAAAGCCAACCAGGACATCCAGTTCACATTTCCATTCACCTTCAGAGAGCTGAATGTGGTGAGAGAGAACAAGTACAGCTTGGTGGAACTTGTTCATCACTTCTTCTCTGAAACCAGAGACGCAGGAATCTGCAGGTTTGATCAGTTCCCGGTCGTGTTCATCTTTGACGGTCTGGATGAGTGTCGACTTCCTCTGGACTTCCACAACACTGAGATCCTGACTGATGTCACAGAGTCCACCTCAGTGGATGTGCTGCTGACAAACCTCATCAGGGGGAAGCTGCTTCCCTCTGCTCGTCTCTGGATAACCACACGACCTGCAGCAGCCAATCAGATCCCTCCTGAGTGTGTGGACATGGTGACAGAGGTCCGAGGGTTCACTGACCCACAGAAGGAGGAGTACTTCAGGAAGAAATTCAGAGATCAGAAGCAGGCCTGCACCATCATCTCCCACATCAAGACCTCAAGAAGCCTCCACATCATGTGCCACATCCCAGTCTTCTGCTGGATCTCTGCTACAGTTCTGGAGGAGGTGTTGAAAACCAGAGAGGGAGGAGAGCTGCCCAAGACCCTGACTGAGATGTACATCCACTTCCTGGTGGTTCAGGCCAAAGTGAAGAACGTCAAGTATGATGGAGGAGCTGAGACAGATCCACACTGGAGTCCAGAGAGCAGGGAGATGATGGAGTCTCTGGGGAAACTGGCTTTTGAGCAGCTGCAGAAAGGCAACCTGATCTTCTATGAGTCCGACCTGACAGAGTGTGGCATCGATATCAGAGTAGCCTCAGTGTACTCAGGAGTGTTCACACAGGTCTTTAGAGAGGAGAGAGGACTGTACCCCAAAGACAAGGTGTTCTGCTTCGTCCATCTGAGCGTTCAGGAGTTTCTGGCTGCTCTTCATGCCCATCTGACCTTCATCACTTCTGGTATTAACCTGCTGGCAGAAGAACCAACAACCTCCAGGCGGCTTAAAGTCTTCAGAGTCAAACCTAAACTAGCCCATCTCTACCAGAGTGCTGTGGACCAGGCCTTACAGAGTCCAAACGGACACCTGGACTTGTTCCTCCGCTTCCTCCTGGGTCTCTCACTGCAGACCAATCAGACTCTCCTACCAAGCCTGCTGACACAGACAGGAAATAGCTCAAAGACCAACAAGAAAACAGTCCAGTACATCAAGAAGAAGATGGATGAGGATCTGTCTCCAGAGAGAAGCATCAACCTGTTCCACTGTCTGAATGAACTGAATGATCGTTCTCTAGTGGAGCAGATCCAACAGTCCCTGAGTTCAGGAAGTCTCTCCACAGATAATCTGTCTCCTGCTCAGTGGTCAGCTCTGGTCTTCATCTTACTGTCATCAGAAGAAGATCTGGACGTGTTTGACCTGAAGAAATACTCTGCTTCAGAGGAGGCTCTTCTGAGGCTGCTGCCAGTGGTCAAAGCCTCCAGGAAGGCTCTGTAAGTTCAGAAACATTCATATATCGTGATTTAAATGTTCTGTTCATCATTTTAACATATTACGTTTCTTTCCTTTATCAGACTGAGTGGCTGTAACCTGTCAGAGAGAAGCTGTGAAGCTCTGTCCTCAGTCCTCAGCTCCCAGTCCTCTAGGCTGAGAGAGCTGGACCTGAGTAACAACGACCTGCAGGATTCAGGAGTGAAACTGCTGTCTGCTGGACTGGAGAGTCCACAATGTACTCTGGAGACTCTCAGGTCAGATTAGTTTTTTTTTTTTAAACTATTTTTAATTGTTTATTTTCTCACTGACTTTGTATTCTTCATCACCGCTCTCTCTCTCTCTCTCTCTCTCTCTCTCTCTCTCTCTCTCTCTCTCTCTCTCTCTCTCTCTCTCTCTCTCTCATATTGCTCGTTTATAATCTCCCTTTGTCTCTATCTCTTTTTAAATCAGTCAGGTATCCAAAAGCAAAGTCTTCTTTTCTATTAAACATTAATAAACAACAGTTTATGTAAAATAATCATCCTGTTAATCAGACTTTTGACTGAAAAAGCAATAATTAATGCCATCGTGGAGAAGAGATTACAGTATATCATCAAAATTGGCCCCACAGATGTTAAGCAGTAAACTGTTGTACATTTGTAATAAGGATTAATGTGCGATAAGGCAGTCATTAATGAAAAAGAACACCCTGAGGTAATTGTATTTATGTTGTTGTTTATTATTTTCTCCTCAGACTGAGTGTCTGTAACCTCTCAGAGAGAAGCTGTGAAGCTCTGTCCTCAGTCCTCAGCTCCCAGGCCTCTAGTCTGAGAGAGCTGGACCTGAGTAACAACGACCTGCAGGATTCAGGGGTGAAGCTGCTTTCTGCTGGACTGGAGAGTCCACACTGTACTCTGGAGACTCTGAGGTCAGGATTCATCAAAATATGAAGCTACTTTCTAATATATATTGTTACATATATATATTGTTATATATAATGTAGCCCAGAGAAGTAATAGGCAAGTACCAATGGGAGGGTTAAAGCTTCGATCCCCACTCCCTACAGTTAACATGTTGAAATATCCTTGGGCAAGATACTCAACCCCAAATTGCTCTTCTATACATGGTATTGCAGTGTATCTTAGTCGCTTCAGTAAAAACATAAGCTAAAATAACATGTATGAATACTGGATGATCTGGATTTCAGATTGTATAAGCCCCTTTTTGAACATAAAGTTCCAGGAACTAGAAAAACAGAGGAACTGAAGTGGGTGTATGAATCCATTTTGTGTGTTTTTGTTTGGATGATATTTTTACGTTTACCGTACTCAAACAATTTTTTCACTCAGTTTTGTTGTTCAATTTTTAGACCCTGTGTAACATAATTTAGTATATTTTATATTAGTTCTATTTAGCTCAGAAAGATACATAATATGCACTCTTTATTCACTTAAAGTGGACCTATCATGCTATATTTGAATAATATAGTGTAGGAGACTGGACGCCCTCAGGTATTATAAACATATACAGTGGAGGAAATAAGTATTTGATCCCCTGCAGATTTGTTAAGCCTGAGAGACCCCGGTACCAAGGCCCTCCCGCAACATGTTGCAGGAAACAGTGTCTGAGGGCATGTTCATTTAATAAACTATGAATGTTTTATATCCATGTAACGGGAAGAAACTCATCTAACTGATCATTTTTTTTTTTTTTTCAAAAAACCCACCACAATGCTAACACTGAGCCTCTGAATTAGCAATGAGCGAAAAATGCTAACAGATTACTGCACCGAAATTCACTCATAAAACCTTATTATTTATCTTTTCTGCACATCCATGACATCGATTCACATCGTGAGGTGACACAGAATCGATGGGTATCCTCATTATCACTCTATGATACGAACTCGCGACTTTATAAACAAAAACAGACATCAAAACATGTGGCGCTAGGTAGCTAAAAACGCTAACATGGCTTACCTGTGTCGTAGTCTGGTCAAAAGTGGTCTTCAATGGCATTAAAACGATAAAAACGCTGCTGAAGTTAATCCATAGGTTAATCCAATGTGTCTGTGTCCCTTTGAAATGATTTCTGATAATCCATAAGCATTAAAACTGCTTTTCCGTTTCCAGATGTCAGAGCTAGAGATAGGTTCGCTCTGATGCAAAACTGCATGCGCGAAGCCCCCACCTTTTTTTTTTACCATGTGTGTGAGTGGGGAAATGCCCCTTCGATTCTATTGGCTCTAACGGTCAGAAAGAGATGTCAATCACCAAAATCGACCAATGGGTTCCAGAGAAACGGTAAAACCCCCATTTCCACCCAAATCACCTCAGAGGTGGAGTTTGTTTTGCTAAACCTCTCTAAAAAGGTCAAATGTCACTTGTTTTGCATCAATCTTGATACAGGATACTTATTATATGTTGTACTTTGGATTCCTAAAGCTTTCCTTTAGTCTACCTTACCATCATCCAAGGGTAGTTTTCACTATAAGTAAAAAATTATTTTTGGACGGACACTATAATTTACAGTTTTTTACTATGTTCAATCTGAATTTTCTTTAAAATAAAAAACATCTATATTGATTCTGACTTTTCTACATCCAACTCACAGGTTTATCATTACTTTGAGGAAAAAGATTATTAATTTAACCCTTTTAGAAGGGAAGATATGGTCATTTGTTCTGGGAATGTCATTTTCGAGACCTGAAAAACAGGCTCAGGGCTAAACAGGTTAAGTTTGCCCACAGAATACATTAACAGTCTATCATTTGAATGGTAGGTTTATATAAACATTGAGAGTAAGAATATCAACAAAGAAAATCCAGAAATGTACATTATATAAAAGATAAAAATGTATTTGCCTTTAATTGTGGGAAATAAAAAAGTAATCCTACTATCGACTTGTTAGCTGTATACAAGACACCTGTCCACAGAATCAATCAATCAGATTCCAACCTCTCCACCATGGGCAAGACTAAAGAGCTGTCTAAGGACCTCAGGGACAAGATTGTAAACCTGCACAAGGCTGGGATCGGCTTCAAGACCACCAGAAAGCAGCTTGGTGAGGAGACCACTGTTGGTGCGATTATTCAGGAGAATAATGTGTGTGTTTCTAATTGGAAGAAAAACAAAATGAGCATCAATGGCCCTCAGTCGGGGGCTCCACACAAGATCTCTCCCCGTGGGGTATTGATGATCATGAGAAAGGTGAGGGATCAGCCAAGAACTACACCGAAGGAACTTGTTAATGATCTCAAAGCAGTTGGGACCACAGTCACCAAGAAACCTATTGGTAACACACTACACCAGGAGTCGGCAACCTTTTTGATATGAAGTGCCATTCAAAAAAAGAATTGTGATCAGTGTGCCAACGATCGAGAACTGTCAACGGGGGGGTGAAGAGCTCGAAGCTTGTGAACTGTCAACAGGAGGGCGGGGGGAGCCTCGCAGCAGTGTCTGGACCTCTTTCACCTGTCAGCACAACTTACATGATGCAGTTTAAACACATTTAACTAATTGGTTTACACAGCATAATAATGCCGTTCTGTGATTCTCCAGAACACACAGATGGCCAGTCCACCCCTGTGTAGCATATTATTTCGATGAGAGATGAGCAGATCGCCACTGGGCTTTCAACTAAAGACACAGCCATGCAAAAACATTGGCATTTGTGCAGTTCCTTATGGGTACTGCAATTTGTGAAGTGCTTTCCTCTGTGGTGAAACGATCAGCCCTGCACCACGGAGGAAAGCAGCAGAAAGTCGCCTGGAGTTAAAGAGAGCGGGGCTGCATTGCATGCATGGCTACCTTCTGCAGGTAACGGAGAGACGCGCTCTGGCGGCGGTCTCGTTCAGGATCCGAAAATTAACTTTAAATATTTTGCACACTTATTCCACTTATTCCTAGTGTGCCACTGGTTACGGTGCCAGGGTTTGCAGACCCCTGCACTACACCATTATGGATCAAATCCTGCAGCTCCTGGCCCCCTGCTCAAGATGAACATGAACGAACCGTCTGAAGTTTGACAATGAACATCTGAATGATTCAGAGAAGGCTTGAGAGAAGGTGATGTGGTCACAAAATGTTGATCTTTGGCATCAAGTCGACCCGCTGTGTTTGGACGAAGAGAGATGCTGACTATAACCCCAGAACACCATCTCCACCGTCAAGCATGGAGGTGGAAACATTCTGCTTTGGGGGTGTTTCTCTGCTAAGGGGACAGGAGGACTTCCCTGCATCGAGGAGAGGGTGGACGGGGCCATGCACCGTGAAAATACATCTTTATCATTTTAGATTCTGAACTCGATTTTAATGCTCATTTTAATTTGCTGACCAAAACTGCTTTTATCATTTTGGCAATATAGTCAGGGGGACATTTACTTAGTCGGCAAGTTTCACAAAATCCATCCAACAACATAAACCTACAGCAGAGACCATCCCACTCCTGATGGACACAATCTACACTGGCTCCTGTATCTGAATGGAGTCTGAAGTGCTTCTCCTATTTTTAAAGCACAAAATGGCCCCTCCCTCTTTTAAAAACAACTTCTGTGCATGAAAGATAGCTTAAGGTTTGAGAGTGATGTAATGTCCATGTTTCCATGCTGCTCTGACCCCCCCCCCCCCCTCTTCTTTCAGGATGGAGCCTGGTGGAGTCCGATGGTTGAGACCCGGTCTGAGGAAGTGTGAGTGTGGTTTAATTTGATTCATGAAAACAAAGCAGCCACCATCTTCAAATGTAACCTTCATCATCAAAGTGTCAATAAATGAACAGCTGATAGATTAATAACTGCTGCTGTTTCTCTCATCAGATTCCTGTGAACTCTCACTCGACACAAACACAGCACACAGACAACTCAAACTGTCTGACAACAACAGGACGGTGACACATGTGAGAGAGAAGCAGCCATATCCTGATCATCCAGAGAGGTTTGATTACTGGTATCAGCTGATGTGTAGTGAAGCTCTGACTGGTCGCTGTTACTGGGAGGTCGAGTGGAGAGGAGGGGTTTATATATCAGTGACTTACAGAGTAATCAGCAGGAGAGGAGGCAATGATGACTGTTTGTTTGGAAGGAATGATCAGTCCTGGAGTCTGAGCTGGTCTGATGGTGGTTACTATGTCTGGCACAATAAGAGAGAAACACACATCTCCTCCTCCTCCTTCTCCTCCTCCTCCTCCTCCTCCTCCTCCTCCTCTGGTAGAGTAGCAGTGTATCTGGATCATCCTGCTGGCTCTCTCTCCTTCTACAGAGTCTCCTCTGACACACTGATCCTCCTCCACACCTTCAGAACCACATTCACTGAACCTCTCTATGCTGGGTTTACAGTTTGGTCTGGTTCCTCAGTGTCTCTGTGTCCTCTGTAGGAGGAAGAGTCTCCTCCTGTTCCAGAAACGTCCTCCCTGCTGCCCAGATAGTTCAGTCTGTACAGGATCACAGCTGATGAATAATTTGTACCATGGTGTACTTATTATGTGTTTTGACTTATTGTGCTTCTTTATTATTAATAATGTCTTCCTACTTTGTTATATTTTAAGAAAGAGACAGAAATCAGTTTGTGGCTCAGTGGTTGGCGCAGATTCAAGATTCAAGGCTTTTATTGTCATGTGTGCATAGCTACCGTTTAGTTATGACAATGAAGATCTGAGGTCACAGGCTCCTCCCACAGAGCAACACAATAACACAGATAAAAGAGTACAAGTAAATAAAATAAAATAGAATATAGTAGAAATAGTGCAGCCCATAACCAGTGCCGCTGTGTGAATGAGGGCTCAAACCCTGAGCCAGGTAAACAAACACATACTGGACTCTGAATACAAATGAAATCTCTCTGGCCAGAACTACAGAAAAGGATAGGGGACACGTCTGCTCCCCCATGAAGTGGAAACTCTGTACAGATCTTAACCTCTGCCTAACGTTAGCAGTAACATCATGAACTTCTAATGTACTAAAGACTGGTGTTTACATGGTGTTTGTCCTCGGTTCCCCTCCTCGACTCCTCCGCTCGCATCTCCTGTGGGCGGGACTAAGACGCGAGGAAAGGAGTCGAGGAGAGGAGTCGAGGAGGGGAACATTAGAATTGAGAAAGGGCTATAGGTTTTGAAATATCATTGGGATAACAAGTAGAGGTCGTAGAGACAGGCTTGAATGCCCTCTGAGAGTCTTCATTCATAGGACTAGCTTTACGGGGCGGGATGAGTGTCTTCCTAGTTGGTTAAGTTAGAAAGATATTGACAGATCAATAACTCAAACACAATCGTCGTCTCTGAACAACCACAGTAAGGTAGACAACAAGCTATAACCCCTCTTTTCTATCAAAACAAGCCAATACACACCGTCCTCTGAGCTGCACAACTTCTATCTGAATGCAGGGACCGTCTACAAAGTGCAACACCGAACAATTATAATACACAAATATTCAATAATTTCCCTTCCCACACTTCTACAGTTTATACTACTACGTTTATATTGGAGTTTTTTTAATTATCAATAATCCCTCTGCTATTCAGTAAAGTGCTTCCAGTTCATGTTCACATGAATGGTCAAATTATTCAAATTAATCGTTCAAATTCACTGAAAATGTCGTGCAATTTGAGCTTTATTTTTCTTTCAATTTATTTAGGATCTCTAAACAGTACCAGCTTCTTCTATAATTTGTATCGTCATCATGTTTGAAAAATATACTGCCATTTACTTTGTTTTAACCGTAGTGTACTTATTATTTGTTTTTACTTGTTGTGTTTTTTATTATTAACAACGTGTGCCTACTTTGATATATTTAATATACTTCTGCTGTTGTAATTCCGTAAATGCAAGTGTACTGTATAAATCAGGTGAAAGGGTCGGAGGAAACTGTTAACTGTTAAACAATTAACAGTTTCCTCCGTCCGTAGTTCCCGAATCCCCCTACCTCTTCAGCTTACAGAAATGTGTTAATAAATGAATGTAAGTGAAAATAAATGTAGAAAAACATTAAAGATATATAATAATGTGTGTCTTGTTTGTTCTCAATCTATATTTATTTATTTTCTACATCATTTTCTTTTTAGTTAAAGTATTTATTTATTTATTACTGTATTATTTGTATTTCTGTATCTATTTCCACAGTTATTTATATTTGTATTCCTGTATTTATTCAAACATTTATTCATACATTTATGTATTTATGTATACCTATGTCATGTTCTGTCCTCCATAGGTTGCAAGGAGGCGAGATGGTATAAAACCAATTTGAGCCAAGACTAAATACTCTTGAGTGTTGAACCCTGGGCCCCCACATTAAGAACCAGCACTCTGACCTCTGGGCGACCTTCAGTGTCATGAATGTGCAAAACAATGGCTCTGCCCGACCCTGCTCGGCTTCTGAGATATACGAGATCAGGCATGAGTTTATATATATCTCATTATCCAAAATACTTCATTACTTTCCATGTACACAAACAAAATACTTATTTTATAGTATTATATTGCACATAAGCACCACTCAAACAGAATGGAACAAAACAAATGCGTTGATAAAAGACTATAAGAAATAGAAAAGAAAACATTTGAAGTTTAAGGTTTCAGAAAAATTCCGTGAACAAGAATAAAAGACAAACGCACAAATCCTACGGGAAATGACGACAAAGCAAATACAAACATAATTTAAACTATGATACAGAAATAATTAGAACACAGACTTAGTACAACTGATCCATTGTGTTCAGGAATAAACAAGACAGAAAAACTGATCGTACTAACAGAATAAGTAACAAAATAGACTTTATAGATCAGAAATAAAAGTACAAAAGAAAAACTTAGCAGTACTTTTACTCCTAATACCTATTACAAAATAAGATTTGAAATGATTAATTTGATCTAAAGGGGTGAATGGATGTCTACCAATCTGAAGAACAGCATTCAATTCCTATGTAAAGTGTGAATAAACTACCATACTATAACGCGCGGAAAAACACAGTTTTTACTTAGAACGTGTTGAAATAGTGGCGTATTTTGGCACAACGAGCTTCAACCTTATTTCTATAAGAACAAGTCTATATTCAGATTCAGATTCAGATTACATTTTATTGTCATAACATAGTACATGTACTAGTGACGAAATGTAAGTTCGGCATCTGACCAGAAGTGCAAAATAGCAGTGCAGGTGTCTACATAATAAGAAAAGTTATAAATAGGCTATAAACATATGAATATGTACAGTATAAACAGTATTGACAGTAAAATATATAAACAGGTGGATGGTGGGTATGGGCAGGGGTTTCTCAGGGGGCAGAGTTCAGCAGGGTAACAGCTCTGGGGAACAAGCTGTCCCTGAACCTGCTGGTCTTGGACCGGAGGCTCCTGAGGCGCCTCCCCGAGGGTAGGACGACAAACAGATAGTTTGCAGGATCAGAGGTGTCTTAAGCATAAAGTGAGCATGCAGACATACCATCTATAGCAGGTAAAGCACTGGAAATGTGTGTTTCTGAATCCATCATTGTTGGGTCAAAGGCTTTGTATGAAAATAACCCAGTAAAACTAAAGCAGAATATCAGCTGCCAATTCTCCTTTTAGCCGTAACCCTAATTTACAAAAAAACCCACCCGGTAAAATTTGACTGCAATCCGTCCGGGTGGTTTGGCTCAAGGGGTTAATGGATGTCTGAGAGTCTGAAAGTTGACAATCCCCAGCATGACAAAGTGAACGTTGGTGTGAGGCAAGAGGCACGGAAATGTGGGAGAGATGGTGGAGATAACACACGTTGGAAGGGCGGTCGAGAGGATGTTACACCTGAAATGAGAGTCAGATACCTGTACTCATCTCAGAGGTACATGTTGTACTTTTTACTGGACTACACTTATCTGACAGCTGCGGTTACTCTACAAATGAAAAACCAGATCACCAAAGAGCAGTGATGAGATCAGTTTGTGTTGTTTTAATGAATGTATATATTCAAGCTGTGTCCAGGAAGCAGAACTCTACACAACAGAGGCTGCAAAGAGTCCAATCTGACACTCTGGACTATTCTGCAAAATTGCAAAAAAGTAATGACTTCCTATATTTTGATAAAAGGCACTGCAGGTTAGAGTAGCAGGAAACTCTGTTAAAGATCCCTTCCCAATATTTATATTCACAAACACATTTGATCCTGTGAACGCAGCACAGACTGAGACTCAGTCCAACCAGTCTGACTGCTAACTGTCATAGTGAGGCGAGGACACACACACACACACACACACACACACACACACACACACACACACACACACACACACACACACACACACACACACACACACACACACACACACACACACACACACACACACACACACACACACACACACACACACACACACAGACTCAGGATAGGAAGCGCCTTCACTTCACTTCGTCTGATGGACGCTGAAGTTCATGAAGCTCAGACGAGGCTGCTACTGATGAAGCTCACGGCTAACAGTTCAGTAAGTAGAGCTGTGATTGGTTGACGTTGTTGATTGTTGTTGTCGCAGAAACGCTTGAGTTGATGAACGTGTGATTGTTTAAAGCTGGGAAACAAGATGGCCTCCTAGCTGTGAGAGCAGAGAGAGTGCAGGTTAGTTTAAAGAGTTCCCTGTGAGGAGGAAGAGGAGTTCAGGCTGATGGGGGTCAGTCTGTCAGGACGGCTACTGATGTGGAGGGGGAGGCAGCAGGCAGGCACTAGGACCCAGCAGCCATCAGAGAGCTCACCTGGGCCTTTGCTCCTGAAACACCTGAGAGACTCTGGCTGTGTTTCATTGGTCGATCAACACCCCCTCCTGACCCCCCCCCCCCCCCCCTCAGGAACTCTGATCTAAAGTCTAAACAGTGACATTCAAACGTCTTAATGCAGTATTCTCACCTTGTTACATGTGTCCTGATAATGAAGAAGTGTACTTGTACTAGACTGTAAAGTTACAAAATGTACTTACAGCCAATATCTGTATCTGATGGCATTAGAATATATTCTATAAACTGCCATTTAAAGGGAACTGTTTCACTACTTTAGCTGACAGACTTTCAACATATTTCTAAGTTTTCTGTTTTCACAGAGCACATTAAGGCTGTAGTTTCTGATGAAACTGGGACTCTTTCTCTATTGTAGTCTTCTCTTCAGGTGTTCTGTGTCAAACACCAGCTGAGAAAAATACATGTTGTTTCTTAGTGTTCACTGTAAAGACAAAAACTCAAGTCCAAACACGTCAACAAACCAAAAAAAAAGGTGTGTTCCATTCAGTCGGGAAGTTCAAATATGTGCCAAAAATAAAAGCGAGAGGAGGAGGAGAGGAGAGGAGGAGGAGGATGAGGAGAGGAGAAGAAGAGGAGGCGGAGTTAAACAGGGAACAGTGAATGGAGGACCTCCAGTGGTCACTCTGAGGAACTGCAGCTGGTTTCTGGTTTCTCTCAGAGGAGGACGAAGGACTCAGATCTTTAGTTTCAGAAACATTAGTGAAACCACAGTGTGATAATAATCTGTTACAGGTCCTCTATTCAACACTTCACTAAAGTACAAGTTTAAACATCAAAATATACTTAAACTACAAAAGTAAAAGTACTCATTCTGCACCAGAATATTTTAATATATAGTTATTGCATGATATTTTGGTGATTATATTTAGTGTTATTAATCTAGGGCTGAATTTTTTTTATCTTAAGATATCACATAAATGTACTGCAGACTAAAGTACAATACTTGCTTCAAGGAAGTAGAATGGTAGAAGTATAAAGTAGCAGGTAATGAAGTGAACTAAAGTACCTAAAAGCTAAAAGTACCTAACACCTGAGTCAAGGTGCAGCAGTGAAATCCTCCATCAGCTTCATCTGGTGGAGCTTCCTCTGCTCTGATTGGTCCTCACCACTGACTCGGGACAATAAGCAGACTCTTCTCTGTCCAATCACAAACCACTAGTGTGTTCCTTTATTAAAGGAACTAAAATACAGAACATATATTTCTTGTTCTTTTTTTTTTTTAAATAACTTTATTTTCTTATATTTTCATCATCTTTATTTTTTACCCTCCTCTGAACTCCAAACTCAGTTTCCTGTTGGTTGTTTAAAATGTATGAACCTCTAAAACAGAGGAAGATTTTAAGGCCAAGTATAATCCACATGAAGGATATTCCTGAAGTCTTCAAACCGTCCTGAAGACCACAGAGCATTGAGAGGGTCTTTAACACGCTGCAGCTCAAAGAGCCAACAACATGGAAACTGTCTCATGAGTGTGTTTAGTTTGGAGGTGTGTGAGCTCTCTGTCCTGATGAGATCATGTGTGATTCTCCAGCAGGTGGTTGTGTGTGTGTGAAGGTGTGGGCTCTGCTATGAATCCCTGTGAGGACACTGAACCCGCTCTGAGTGGGGACCCTGAACGCCTCACCAAAGCTCAGAGGTGAGATGAAGACCTCTGACTGTCCTCTTCTCCAGAGCTCAGCAGGCATTATTCACACTCAAAGCTCTGTGTGTGTGTGTGTGTGTGTGTGTGTGTGTGTGTGTGTGTGTGTGTTTTGTAGCCCAGAGCAGCATGGACCTGGACCTGGACCTGGACCTGGACCTGGACCTGGACCTGGACCTGGACCTGGACCTGGACCTGGACCTGGACCTGGACCTGGACCTGGACCTGGACCTGGACCTGGACCCAGCTGTGTGTCAATAAAGAGTGACTGGTCGATGCACGAACCAATGCGTTTTCAAAGACAATCTTCAAAGAAAATACAAGTAGAGACTATACTAGCAAGGTGTGTTCAGCCTGAAGCCAGAGTTTAATGTGTCGCACTGGCTCAATAAAAGAGATCCTCTTTAAAATCGCATCTAGTATATGTTAGTAGTTGACTATACTATTCAACAGAATGACGTCTACTTGCGTGTGAGATTAATACACTTGTAAGTCAACACTTGTAAGGTTTTTATGATCCTGATTGGCGGAAGTCTTTTAGTCAGCCGTTTTATTCTGCTGGTATATTTTGGCTGACTGAACCGAGATAAGAAAGTAATCCGTTGATATTTATCATAGCTAATATTCAATTAGAGAACACTATAGGCAGACAGACATATATACACAGAAGACTATTCACAAAGATAGAGCTGGGGAGGGCAGCAGCTGAACACAATCAGACAATCACACAGGCGGGGAAACACAAAGACAGGAAGTAAAACTAGACAAGACAAAATGAGAAAAGGCATTTCAAAATAAAACAGGAAACAAAATGTAAGATCATAAAATTAAACATTAGTAGATGTAGTAGACGTAGACTGTAGGCCATACCAGTCATGCATATATCGCATAAAGTATTATGTATTCAAAGAGTTTCATACAATTATCCAAATTGGGATTCATGTCGGTTAGTACCAGTGGACAGGAAAGCGAGGAACCATTTACTTTGAGCTTCCTTTTCTATTTGAATTCAATCCTTGGTAATGAAGTTACATATTTTGAACTGTTGTCCACGTTTATAAAGCCAGCATGAAACAAAATGATGAGAACGCGCGGGGCAAAATATCTAGATTTAAGAAGTCCATCACTGGAAAATGTTGTTTTTTCACAGCAGACACACATCAATAAACTCGGCTGCAGAATGACGTCCTCAGTGATTCTCTGAGCACTGAAGTTCTCTCCTGAATCCTGATGAGTTCTCCTTCACACCTTTTCCATGAGCCAAAAAAAATGTTCACAGAGGTTATGGCAAAGTGGTCAGGAATAGATAGGACAGGATCTTTTTTGACAATTCCAGATTATTTCCCGTTTCTATCTTGTGTTTTAGGTGGAAGCTGGAAGAACCTGAACCCAGCTGTGTGTCCATGAAGAGTGACTGGTCTATGGGTCATCCTTATAAATTCAAAGAAGGACATCACTCTGATGGTCAAAGGTGAAGTTGCAATTTCAACATGAAAAGTGATAGTTATTTGATGATAACCTTTACTTCAACCTGGTGCCCCGTGCGAAGCCTAGGTAAACCCAGGGATGTATGCAAACCCCTCCTTTCTCCTGATGCTCACACGTGCACTCAATCCACATTTTCAGCACCACTGAAGCATATCAAAACTGACCTGCATTGATTTTATGTTATTTTACAAATGTGCTGTGCATAACAGTATACATGTGCATAGCTGGACATGTATACATAGGTATAGGTATGATATTTGTGATTCATTTGTAATTTACCAGGTCAGCTTTTTTCAGTAGTTGACAAATTTGGTAAAATTCTACAACTGATAAGCCAAACTCATTGGGATTAGCAGGAGGAATAAATATTTGCTACTACAGGAAGTCACTTCAAGGACCTTTACCTTGTGTTTGTCTCTGTATGGATGGAAATAATGTGAGTTATTCCTTCATGATTCCTCAGCTGAACGCAATTTTTATTTTAAACAAACAGTTTTTATGATCCTGATTGGCGGAAGTCTTTTAGTCAGCCGTTTTATTCTGCTGGTATATTTTGGCTGACTGAACCGAGATAAGAAAGTAATCTGTTGATATTTATCATAGCTAATATTCAATTAGAGAACACTATAGGCAGACAGACATATATACACAGAAGACTACTCACAAAGATAGAGCTGGGGAGGGCAGCAGCTGAACACAATCAGACAATCACACAGGTCCTGGACCTGGACCTGGACCTGGACACCCCCAATGTTACCTTTTATACTGACGGTATCTCGGCACCGAAACCGTAGTTTCGGATACACACCGGTGGTTTCTGACTTGGCTCGTTGTCAGCCGGTAACCAGCTGTCCAGATATTTCGAGGGGAAAAAGGATGAAGACGATGCGTTCAGGTGCCGTGGGAAGAACCTCCGTTTATTCACATTCTTCAATTACATTGACACTGTATTGAATACATACAAACTAGACACTATTCCTTTTCTGACCACTTTCTCTATACTTTCGTCTCTCTCTTCATACCTCCGCACTTCGCCTTGGCGTGTGTGTGTGTGTGTGTGTGTGTGTGTGTGTGTGTGTGTGTGTGTGTGTGTGTGTGTGTGTGTGTGTGTGTGTGTGTGTGTGTGTGTGTGTGTGTGTGTGTGTGTGTGTGTGTGTGTGTGTGTGTGTGTGTGTGTGTGTGTGTGTGTGTGTGTGTGTGTGTGTGTGTCATAGCGGCCACGCGTGAGTGGTGAGAGGAACTCGCTCACCTTTTTTGAACATCTAAGCTCACATACACCCGTTGTAACTGCCATCGTTATTGCAGTGGGGATATAAGATGCACTGGACGCTTTTGGTACACAATGTGTCTCGTTACCACGCTGAGATTGGCCTTTAAACAAGCCCTGAATAGTGGGCGAGTCTACAAACAATGCCTGAACGTCTGCGACCCAAGCCCAACACCGGCCGGAGATGTTCGTGTAGACTTCGAGCAATATGCGCGATTATTGTCAGATTGTGAGTGGACTACTTTCCAGAGAGATGAAAGAGCGTACAGGGGGACACTGGACACAAAACTGCTCCAGGTAAGATCTAACTTTGCTGTTACTCACGGAGGCGCAGAGAAGTGGGGCAGGCTGGTGACAATCCTGACCAGCGCTTTTTTCATTAATGGAATATTCTCCACGACGCAACGAAACTCGCGTCCGTACGGATTCCAGCTTCTGAAATATGTCCCCAGAATCCTGAAGAAATTCCCTCTTTCTGCCAACTTCCCGGTGGACCTTACACCTGACTCGCTGATACCATGGATAGAAATGCAGCTTCGCTTCATCCGTGAGAGAATACAACCAGCGCTGCGGGCCGCCGGGACAGAGACACTACGGCAGCAAAGGAAAGTTTCCAGGAACAAGCTGGCATATCTCTGGCAACAACGCAAATCAAAGGCAATCGATATCATTTTAAATAACAGCTGTTTTCCGGAAACCCCACCCACTGTTAGTGATACAGCCAATGTATATAACTACTATAAAGCCAAATGTCAAACTGTGCCGAGGGCTACTCCCCTGGCCACGCCCCCTTGGTACAATTTCATTGACAGAATAGAGCCAGGCTATTTCCCAGATACCCAGGATTTTACAACTGAGGAGGTGGATGCAGTTCTGGCTTCTCTTCCTAATAACAAGGCTAGTGGATCTGATGGGGTCATCTATGAGACGCTGAGAGCTACCAGGCCCACGTCAACACAGACACTCACACACATCTTCAATGCCTGCCTGATCAATGAGAAGGTGCCTGCTTCGTGGAAAGGGGCCCTCATTCACAGGATACCAAAAAAGGAAAATGTCCCAGATGATCCTTCCACTTGGCGTGACATTTCACTATTGCCCACTATATACAAAGTCTTTATGAAGTGCCTACTCACCCGCATCTTACCCTGGCTGGTGGACACTGTGATTCTCTCCCCCCATCAGAAAGCATATATCAACAGACAGGGAATGAACGAACATGTGTTTTGCTTAAAAACCGGAATAGATGATTTCAAACATTGATCATCTAAATTCGACACAGTGTTTTTGGACTTTAGAGACGCGTTTGGTACACTCTCCCATGAGGTGATGCTAAAAGCATTAGAGGAAATACACCTGCCTCAGCCTTTTGTGAATGTGGTATCCAATGTGTACCAAGGTTCATTTCTCCAGGTTATCTGTGGGCAGCAGCTCACAGAGCCGATTGCACTGAAGGTGGGAATAAAAACTGGCTGTCCCTGGAGTGCCGTGAACTTCATCCTAGCACTCAACCAATGGATGAAGTGGATTTACCAGTGCGCTCCTCTGCATGTCAGGTCCCCAAATCCTGTTCAAGGATACGCTGACGACGTGCAGGTGTCGTCACGACAGGAGGATGTCATCATTGGCATGCTAGCACGCACTGATGAGTTCCTCCAATGGTCAGGGCTGGAGGTGAAGCAAGCTAAGTGTGCCATACTCCATGAGCGCCGCAGTGGAGGCAACCGCTGGTATAAAGCCAAGAACGACAAGCCCCCCTCCTTTCTTGTAATGGGCCAACCTATTAAGGTGTATTCCCGTAATGAGACCTACCCATACCTTGGCCACAGGTTTAACATCGCTGGCGAGTGGGGGGAGCAGGTCGAGGAGCTCACGACAGAGTTTCTCCATCGTCTCCACCTGATTGACTTGTCCCCCCTCCCCGTCCTCATGAAGTTCCAGGCTGTGAGAGAGGTGGCTTTGGCTAAAATTCAACATCTCTTTGCCAATGTACACATCCCTCTCAAGGCACTGAGAGAAATGACAAACAAAACTGTCCAGTTGGTCAGAAAGTGGGTGGGCCTCAACACACACTCCACACGGGGCATGATCTTTCTCCCATGTGGAGAGGGGGGGCTGGGTGTCCCCAATGTCGAGTGGACCTACATAGCCACCAGGCTAGCCCACCTGATCCACATGCTTAACAATGATGATGTCAACGTAAGAGAAATGGCCAGGGCCTCTCTCCTGCTGGATCTACAAAGAAGGAAGATCCCCCTGGCCAGCGCAGACCGGAACAACTTCCTCGGCTTCAGGAGGAAGGACTCTGGGAAACTGGACTCTCAGGCCAAGGGCTTCGGGGTCTGGTCTGACTGGCCAGATCTCAATGACCTCTGCAATCGGACTGGAGTCCAGCTGAAATGGACAAGACTCAACACACAGACTGAAGTCCCCGTCTCTGATGAACTGATCACAGACCCCAGTGTGGTTGTGAAGGCCGACATCACAACACCTCAGGAAGAGACTGTGGAACTGCACCGAGACTCTGCAAGGAGGGTTCTGCTCAGCATGAAGCAGTCTGAGATCAAGCAGCACTGGTGTGGACTCAGATTACAGGGAAAGCTAGCCTGTTTGGGGTTTGCTGACCACTCAGTCTCACACTCAGTGTTTAAGAACGCCGCTGTTGGTGAGGATGTTCTGACATTTACCATCAAAGCAAGACTGCAGGTATTACCTACTAATGGCGCGTTTCCACTACACGGCCTCGCTCGGCCCCGCTCGGTATGGCTGGGCCTCGTTAGGACTGGCTCACTTTATGGCGCATTTCCATTACAGTTTAGGAACTGGGGCAGTATCTATAGTAACGCAGTGTAGGCGGAGCCGTGACGTGATCTTCAGAGGACCCCAGAAAAACAACACAGCCGTTAGCTGTTAGCACTCAGAGCTCATAGCTCCTCATATATGTTCAGAAACTGGACAAAAGTTAAACAAGTACAAACCACAGACTGCCTGTGTCATGGTGAATACAGTCGCTGCTTTATTTATGTCTGTATAGGCCGTTGTTGTGAGTGTGGACGGTCGGAGCATATACTGCGTTAGCTTAGCCAATCTCCATTTAGAAAACAAGCATTTTATAAGGTTTTTCCCCTGCCGTCTGTCTGCAGACTTGACAAAGCATTAATTCATGGTTTTTACTAACCGGTATCAGTATGTTGTTACTTCGGCATCATTTTGAAACGTGTATTACAATTAAATCACGGTCAAATATGTCCATCTTGTTGTAGTTGTAGCCCCCTTGCCAGCGACGCTCTCTCTAGTTTAGCATACTCAGCCCGACTCAGCCTCGTTGTCTCTGGCCCTGGACCCACGATTTTATGAGGCCAGAAAAACTGTGAATTAGGACCCGCCGGCCGGTACTAGGCCAAGTGGAAACGCAACCAAAGACGGGCCGCTGACATCACAGCCCTCTTAAACCGGGCTGCGCGCTGTAGTGGAAACGCGCCATAAGTACAATCTGTCCACCTGGTACCCTCACATTCACACTCCATTCTGTTTAAACCATCAGGATTCACAACAACACCGAGAATCCATTGCACACATAACAAATGGATGTAATGCATACAAACGCCTGTACATAGCCCGTCATGACCGTATTGTGGACATTGTGTCTGATGCGGTACAAAACATCTTACCATCTAGCGCAGCAATGTACAAGCACACTAGAGTGTTACCAGAATGGTTTGGTTTGACCAATGATGTCTTTGCTAACATCCCAAATACACCTGATGTTGTTTTTGTTGACACCAACCACAGGGAGGTGCTAATATTAGAAGTAGGCTGTGCCTTTGACCTGTACATGGACCAGGCTTTCCAGGACAAGTATATAAAATACCAACCACTGCTCCATGTGATAACCAGCTTTGGGTACAAGTGTAGATATAGCATACTCATATTCGGAAGTCTTGGCCATGTATATAAATGCACCATGATTGGTCTGAGAATTGCTGGAATGTCAAAGAGAAAAGCCAAACAAATTGCCAAATATTGCTCTGTTTCAGCTTAGCCGTGTGGAGAATGAGATGCTATGTGTTCCCCTAAGTCTTCTGTGCTGCTTAGCCCCGATATATTTGATTCCCTGTCTTATGTAATATAATTTGTGGAACCAAATAAAGTATTCAAATGTGTGTGTGTGTGTGTGTGTGTGTGTGTGTGTGTGTGTGTGTGTGTGTGTGTGTGTGTGTGTGTGTGTGTGTGTGTGTGTGTGTGTGTGTGTGTGTGTGTTTTGAAGCCCAGAGCAGCATGGACCTGGACCTGGACCTGGACCTGGACCTGGACCTGGACCTGGACCCAGCTGTGTGTCAATAAAGAGTGACTGGTCGATGCACAAACCAATGCGTTTTCAAAGACAATCTTCAAAGAAAATACAAGTAGAGACTATACTAGCAAGGTGTGTTCAGCCTGAAGCCAGAGTTTAACGTGTCGCACTGGCTCAATAAAAGAGATCCTCTTTAAAATCGCAGCTAGTATATGTTAGTAGTTGACTATACTATTCAACAGAATGACGTCTACTTGCGTGTGAGATTAATACACTTGTAAGTCAACACTTGTAAGGTTTTTATGATCCTGATTGGCGGAAGTCTTTTAGTCAGCCGTTTTATTCTGCTGGTATATTTTGGCTGACTGAACCGAGATAAGAAAGTAATCCGTTGATATTTATCATAGCTAATATTCAATTAGAGAACACTATAGGCAGACAGACATATATACACAGAAGAATATCCACAAAGATAGAGCTGGGGAGGGCAGCAGCTGAACACAATCAGACAATCACACAGGCGGGGAAACACAAAGACAGGAAGTAAAACTAGACAAGACAAAATGAGAAAAGGCATTTCAAAATAAAACAGGAAACAAAATGTAAGATCATAAAATTAAACATTAGTAGATGTAGTAGACGTAGACTGTAGGCCATACCAGTCATGCATATATTGCATAAAGTATTATGTATTCAAAGAGTTTCATACAATTATCCAAATTGGGATTCATGTCGGTTAGTACCAGTGGACAGGAAAGCGAGGAACCATTTACTTTGAGCTTCCTTTTCTATTTGAATTCAATCCTTGGTAATGAAGTTACATATTTTGAACTGTTGTCCACGTTTATAAAGCCAGCATGAAACAAAATGATGAGAACGCGCGGGGCAAAATATCTAGATTTAAGAAGTCCATCACTGGAAAATGTTGGTTTTTCACAGCAGACACACATCAATAAACTCGGCTGCAGAATGACGTCCTCAGTGATTCTCTTAGCACTGAAGTTCTCTCCTGAATCCTGATGAGTTCTCCTTCACACCTTTTCCATGAGCCAAAAAAATGTTCACAGAGGTTATGGCAAAGTGGTCAGGAAGAGATAGGACAGGATCTTTTTTGACAATTCCAGATTATTTCCTGTTTCTATCTTGTGTTTTAGGTGGAAGCTGGAAGAACCTGAACCCAGCTGTGTGTCCATGAAGAGTGACTGGTCTATGGATCATCCTTATAAATTCAAAGAAGGACATCACTCTGATGGTCAAAGGTGAAGTTGCAATTTCAACATGAAAAGTGATAGTTATTTGATGATAACCTTTACTTCAACCTGGTGCCCCGTGCGAAGCCTAGGTAAACCCAGGGATGTATGCAAACCCCTCCTTTCTCCTGATGCTCACATGTGCACTCAATCCACATTTTCAGCACCACTGAAGCATATCAAAACTGACCTGCATTGATTTTATGTTATTTTACAAATGTGCTGTGCATAACAGTATACATGTGCATAGCTGGACATGTATACATAGGTATAGGTATGATATTTGTGATTCATTTGTAATTTACCAGGTCAGCTTTTTTCAGTAGTTGACAAATTTGGTAAAATTCTACAACTGATAAGCCAAACTCATTGGGATTAGCAGGAGGAATAAATATTTGCTACTACAGGAAGTCACTTCAAGGACCTTTACCTTGTGTTTGTCTCTGTATGGATGGAGATAATGTGAGTTATTCCTTCATGATTCCTCACAGAGAGGACCAGCAGAGCTCAGAGGTTCCCAGAGGTCAGTCTGCCCAGCAGCATCAGACACAGCTGGACTCCATATTTATGGTCTGTACATGTTCTACAACTACTTTACATCTATTCTGATCACAATTATTTCCAAGATGAACTTTTTAGATCAGTGGATTGTCAGTCTGTCCAACATGGATCTGATGTTTGGTGCCTTTAGTTTGATTGTGTTGTTCATGTATTCTGTTCCAGCTGCTGGAGGAGAACATCATCACTTTTGTGAAGAATGAACTGAAGAAGATCCAGAAGGCTCTGAGTTCAGATTACCCAGAATTCTTAGAGAGTCAGAGGGAGGATGAGGAGGTGTTGGACGTGGAGGATGAAGAGCAGAGGAGGAGCAGCAGAGAGGCATTTCTGAACATCACACTGCACTTCCTGAGGAGCATGAAGCAGGAGGAGCTGGCTGACCGTCTGCAGAGCAGTAAGAGGGTTTTATAAAGATTTAACAAGCTGGATAAATGTTGACTAATGTCTCAAGAGATGGAGCAAAGTATGTTCAGATCTAGCTTCATTCTTTAAGGATTTATTAGACTTATTGCTCTGATTTGTTGTGTGTTCATTCAGGGCTAATTACTGGAGTGTGTCAGCGTAAACTTAAATCCACCCTGAAGGAGAGGTTCCAGTGTGTGTTTGAGGGCATTGCTAAAGCAGGAAACCCAACCCTTCTGAACCAGATCTACACAGAGCTCTACATCACAGAGGGGGGGTCTGCAGAGGTCAATGATGAACATGAGGTCAGACAGATTGAAACAGCATCCAGGAAACCAGACAGACCAGAAACAACCATCAGACAAGAAGACCTCTTTAAAGCCTCACCTGGAAGAGATGCACCAATCAGAGCAGTGATGACAACGGGCGTGGCTGGCATTGGGAAAACAGTCTTAACACAGAAGTTCACTCTGGACTGGGCTGAAGGCAAAGCCAACCAGGACATCCAGTTCACATTTCCATTCACCTTCAGAGAGCTGAATGTGGTGAGAGAGAACAAGTACAGCTTGGTGGAACTTGTTCATCACTTCTTCTCTGAAACCAGAGACGCAGGAATCTGCAGGTTTGATCAGTTCCCGGTCGTGTTCATCTTTGACGGTCTGGATGAGTGTCGACTTCCTCTGGACTTCCACAACACTGAGATCCTGACTGACGTCACAGAGTCCACCTCAGTGGATGTGCTGCTGACAAACCTCATCAAGGGGAAGCTGCTTCCCTCTGCTCGCCTCTGGATAACCACACGACCTGCAGCAGCCAATCAGATCCCTCCTGAGTGTGTGGACATGGTGACAGAGGTCCGAGGGTTCACTGACCCACAGAAGGAGGAGTACTTCAGGAAGAGATTCAGAGATCAGGAGCAGGCCGGCACCATCATCTCCCACATCAAGACCTCACGAAGCCTCCACATCATGTGCCACATCCCAGTCTTCTGCTGGATCTCTGCTACAGTTTTGGAGGAGGTATTGAAAACCAGAGAGGGAGGAGAGCTGCCCAAGACCCTGACTGAGATGTACATCCACTTCCTGGTGGTTCAGTCCAAAGTGAAGAACATCAAGTATGATGGAGGAGCTGAGACAGATCACCACTGGAACAAAAAGAGCAGGAAGATGATGGAGTCTCTGGGAAAACTGGCTTTTGAGCAGCTGCAGAAAGGCAACCTGATCTTCTATGAGTCCGACCTGACAGAGTGTGGCATCGATATCAGAGCAGCCTCAGTGTACTCAGGAGTGTTCACACAGGTCTTTAGAGAGGAGAGAGGACTGTACCAGGACAAGGTGTTCTGCTTCGTCCATCTGAGCGTTCAGGAGTTTCTGGCTGCTCTTCATGTGCATCGAAAATGTATAAATTCTCGTATGAACCTGCTGTCAGAAGAAGCAACAACCTCCAGGCGGCCTAAAGTCTTCAGACCCAAACCTGAATTAACACATCTCTACCAGAGTGCTGTGGACCAGGCCTTACAGAGTCCAAACGGACACCTGGACTTGTTCCTCCGCTTCCTCCTGGGTCTTTCACTGGAGACCAATCAGAAACTCCTACGAGGCCTGCTGACACAGACAGGAAGTAGCTCAGAGACTGAAGAGGAAACAGTCCAGTACATCAAGAAGAAGATGGATGAGGATCTGTCTCCAGAGAGAAGCATCAACCTGTTCCACTGTCTGAATGAACTGAATGATCATTCTCTGGTGGAGCAGATCCAAGAGTCCCTGAGTTCAGGAAGTCTCTCCACAGATAATCTGTCTCCTGCTCAGTGGTCAGCTCTGGTCTTCATCTTACTGTCATCAGGAGAAGATCTGGACGTGTTTGACCTGAAGAAATACTCTGCTTCAGAGGACGCTCTTCTGAGGCTGCTGCCAGTGGTCAAAGCCTCCAACAAAGCTCTGTGAGTACAGAAACATTCATATATCATGACATAAATATTCTGCTTATCATTTTAACATATTACGTTTCTTTACTTTATCAGACTGAGTGGCTGTAAACTGTCAGAGAGAAGCTGTGAAGCTCTGTCCTCAGTCCTCAGCTCCCAGTCCTCTAGTCTGAGAGAGCTGGACCTGAGTAACAACGACCTGCAGGATTCAGGAGTGAAGCTGCTGTCTGCTGGACTGGAGAGTCCACACTGTACACTGGAGACTCTCAGGTCGGGATTCATGAAAATATTAAGCTACCTTCTAATATATATATATATATATATTGTTACGTATATATACTGTTGCCCAGAGAGGTGATAGGCAGGTACCAATGGGAGGGTTAACCTCTTAAGCCCGATCAGCTATCAGACAATATTAACCACTTTTAGCTAAACGAAACACAAGGGTAACACCAAGTGTCTGATTTAGCACTAAGCGAAGAAATGCTAACGCACTAAGCACATAACTCACGGTAGAGATATTTTATACTTCATGCTATCTGCACAGACTACATATGAAAGCTGAGATTCCACAGATCCCATTGGTATAAATGTCATCACTGTACAACCAAAAATCACAGCAGCGAAAGCCAGGAAAGACAACACACAACTTCACTTTACGGGGCCAAAACGGCAAATACGTCTTACCGTTGCTGTTTTCTGATCAAAGGTTGTGTTCAAGGGCATTAAAACGCATATAAACGCTGCTGAAGGTTAATCCAATGTCTCTGTGTCACTTTGAAATGATTACTGATAATCCATCATAACATTTATGGCAATAAAAGTAGTTTTCATATAGAGTGTAACAGAGCTTTCGGTTTTGGGCAAACTGCGTGCGCATCACTCTCACTCCTCAATGGTAATGTTAAGATGGATTTAGGAACACACCATCGATTCTATTGGCTCTAACGGTTACTAAGAGGTGTCAAACGTCAAAATCGACCAATGGGTTTCAGATATACGGCAAATACATCCAAATGTACCAAGAGGTGTTTTTTTTTTTCTAAACCTCTCTAAAAAGGTCAGATTTCACTTGTTTTGCATCAATCTTGATACAGAGTACTTATTATATGTTATAGTTCGGATTCCTAAAGCTTTTAGTATACTATCCCATCATTCAAGGGTGGTTTTCACTATAAGTAATGGTTTTTTTGGACAGAAACTATCATTTACATTTTTTTACTATGATCAATCTGAATTCACTTTAAAATAAAAGCATCTATATTGATTCCGACACTTCTACATCCAACTCACAGGTGTATCATTGCTTTGAGAAAAAAGATTATTAATTTACCCCTTTTAGAAGTGAAGATATAGTCATTTGTTCTGGGCATGTCATTTTCGAGCCTGAGGCCTGAAAAACAGGCTCAGGGCTTAACAGGTTAACCGCAAATTGCTCTTCTAGACATGGTATTGCAGTGTATGTTAGTCGCTTGAGTAAAAGCATAAGCTAAAATAACATGTATGAATACTGGATGATCTCGATTTCAGATTGTATAAGCCCCTTTTTGAACATAAAGTTTGAGGAACTGGAGAACCAGAGGAACTGAAGTGGGTGCATTAATCCATTTTGTGTGTTTATGTTTGGATGAGATTTGTACGTTTACCGTACTCAAACAATTTTTTTTTTACCCAGTTGTGTTGTTACATTTTTAGACCCTATGTAACATCATTTAGTTTACTTTAGAGTAGTTCTATTTAGCCTAGAAAGATTAATCATATGCACTCCTTATTCACTTTACATTTTTGCAATTCTTTTGTACATTTGCTTTAAATCCAACTATTATGCAAAATTATCTCTTTCAGTTCAAATAATTGCTTTCAGGGGATAACATTATTAATACAACAGACCAAATGTCACACTTTGTTTCTCCTATATGTGGTTTTATGACCATTATGTTTGATTATTTTGTTAATGCAAAGGGTAAATGGAGAGGTTTTTATTTCAATTATTTTGTCTCTTCAGACTGAGTGGCTGTAAGCTGTCAGAGAGAAGCTGTGAAGCTCTGTCCTCAGTCCTCAGCTCCCAGTCCTCTAGTCTGAGAGAACTGGACCTGAGTAACAACGACCTGCAGGATTCAGGAGTGAAGCTGCTGTCTGCTGGACTGGAGAGTCCACACTGTACTCTGGAGACTCTCAGGTCAGATTAGTTATTTTTTCTTAATTATTTTAAATGTATATCTTTCTCACTCCGTATTCTTCACCACTGCTCTCTCTCTTTCTCTCATTCTGCTCATTTACAATCTCCTTCTTTCTCTATCTCTTTTTAAATCAATCAGGTAGAAAAAAGCAAAGTCTTCTTTTGTATTAAACATTAATAAAATACAGTTGATGTAAAACTCTCATCCTGTTAATCAGACTTCGATTGGAAAAGCAATGATTAATGCCGGTGTGGAGAAGAGACTACAGTATCTCGTCAACATTGGCCTCACAGATGTTAAGCAGTAAACAGTTACTCATTTGCAATAAGGAAAAATGTGCGATAAGGCAGTCATTAATGAAAAAGAACTCCCTGAAGTTATTGTTTTAATGTTGTTCATTATTTTCTCCTCAGACTGAGTGGCTGTAACCTGTCAGAGAGAAGCTGTGAAGCTCTGTCCTCAGTCCTCAGCTCCCAGTCCTCTAGTCTGAGAGAGCTGGACCTGAATAACAACGATCTGCAGGATTCAGGAGTGAAGCTGATGTCTGCTGGACTGGAGAGTCCACACTGTACTCTGGAGACTCTCAGGTCAGATTAGTTTTAGTTTTTTTTACTATTTAAAAAAAGGTTATCCCTCACTTAGTATTCTTCATCACAGCTCTCTCTCACTCTTGTTCTCTCATTCTGCTCATTTACATTCTCCTTCTTTCTCTATCTCTTTTTAAATCAGTCAGGTAACCAAAAGCAAAGTCTTCTTTTCTATTAAACATTAATTAATAAACAACAGTTGATGTAAAACACTCATCCTGTTACTCAGACTTTTGATTGGAAAAGCAATAATTAATGCCATCGTGGAGAAGAGACTACAGTATATAATCAAAATTGGCATCACAGATGTTAAGCAGTAAACTGTTGCACATTTTGAATAAGGAATAATGTGCAATAAGGCAGTCATTATTGAAAAAGAACACCCTGAAGTTATTGTTTTTTTGTTGTTGTTTATTATCTTCTCCTCAGACTGAGTGTCTGTAACCTCTCAGAGAGAAGCTGTGAAGCTCTGTCCTCAGTCCTCAGCTCCCAGTCCTCTAGTCTGAGAGAGCTGGACCTGAGTAACAACGACCTGCAGGATTCAGGAGTGACACTGCTGTCTGCTGGACTGGAGAGTCCTCCCTGTACTCTGGACACTCTCAGGTCAGATTTTTTTTTTTCTTAAATTATTTTAAATTGTTATCTTTTTCACTCACTTTGTATCTTTTACCACCGCTCGGGCTCTCTTTCTCTCATTCTGCTCATTTACATTCTCTAAGGTCGCATTCACACCTAATATCCGTTTTCAGGTGCGCACCAGACGACTATTTGTTACATTGTTTCATTTTTCAGAAGGTTCGGTTTGCGTTCACACGGGCAAAACTCAAACGGACTATAAACTTTAACCTGTTACGCACCGCCCCCCCCGGTACCGGGCGGATAAACGCGTCATTTGCAGGAAACAACGTCTAAGGAATCTTAATATTTAATAAACTATGAATGTTTTATATCCATGTAACGGGAAGAAACTCAGCTAACTGATCTTTTTTTTTTTTAAATCCAAAAAAAAAAACACAATGCTAACACTCAGCCTCTGAATTAGCCACGAGCGAAAAAATGTAACCTATCACTGCACCTAAACTCACTCATAACTCCCTTATTACTTATCCTAGATGCACAGCCAACCCCTCGATTAGCATCTCCTGGAGACGCAGAATTTGGAGGTGCCCACCTCAACACTCAGTGATAAACCTTTGCGACGCTATAAACGAAAACGTACATCAAAACATGTGGCGCTAGGTAGCTACAAACGCTAACATGGCTTACCTTGGTCAAAACTGGTCTTCAATGGCATTAAAACGATAAAAAAACGATGCTGCAGTTAATCCATAGGTTAATCCAATGTGTCTGTGTCCTCTTTGAAATGACTTCTGATAATCCATAAGCAATAAAACTGCTTTTTCGTTTCCAAATGTCAGAGCGAGAGATCGCTTCACTCTGGTGCAAACCTGCATGCGGGAAGCCCCCACCGTTTGTTTTCACAACGAGTGTGTGTGGGGGACTCCCCCTTCGATTCCATTGGCTCTAACGGTCAGAAAGAGGTGTCAAGCATCCAAATCGACCAAGGGGGGCCAGAGATATGAAAAAAAAAACATTTTCACCCAAATCACCTCAGAGGTGGAGTGGTTTTGGCTAAACCTCTCTAAAAAGGTCAAATGTCACTTGTTTTGCATCAATATTGATACAGGGTACTTATTATATGTTGTACTTTGGATTCCTAAAGCTTTTAGTCTACTAACCCATCATCCAAGGGTAGTTTTCACTATAAGTAAAAAAGAATTTTTGGACGGACACTATAATTTACAGTTTTTTACTATGTAAAATCTGAATTTTCTTTAAAATAAAAAACATCTATATTGATTCTGACTTTTCTACATCCAACTCACAGGTTTATCATTACTTTGAGAAAAATATTATTAATTTAACCCTTTTAGAAGGGAAGATATGGTCATTTGTTCTGGGAATGGCATTTTCGAGCCTGAGACCTGAAAAACAGGCTCAGAGCTTAACAGGTTAAACACAAGTCATGTGCTCCGAAATGCTGTTCAACCATTGGTAAGTAAGTAAGTAAGTAAGTAAAACTTTATTTATATAGCACCCTTCTCAACACGGATGTACAAAGTGCTTTACAGTACAGTACACAGGACACAATTCAAAGTACAACTATAAAATGTAGAATAAAAGGCATAAAACAGCAGCGGGTAATACATACGATAAAACATACGATAAAACACCAATAAAAGACAGCCACTAACTCACCTCCTCCGACGACCCAAAGGCCTGTCGGAAAAGGTGGGTCTTTAACTGCCCCTTAAAAATCTCTACTGAGGCAGAGGCTCTTAGTGTCTGGGGGAGTTTGTTCCAAAGCCTTGGGGCCACCACCTCAAAGGCACAGTCCCCCTTAGTTTTTAGCCTGGCTCGGGGCACCCTTAGAAGGCCTTGCTCAGAGGACCTCAGGGCCCGGGTTGTGCTGTGAGGGAGGATCAAGTCATTGATGTAGGCTGGGGCTTGGCCATTGACAGCTCTATATGTGAAAACCAATACCTTGAATTGGGTTCTGAGATGGACAGGGAGCCAGTGCAGAGCAGAAAGAATCGGAGTGATGTGGCATGTTTTTTTGGACCGAGTGAGTAATCTGGCTGCAGCATTTTGGACCTGTTGTAGCCGGTTTATTGATGTTTTGTTGAGGCAGGAGAACAGAGCATTACAATAATCAAGCCGGGATGAAATAAAGGCATGGATAGCCATCTCCAGTTCTGCGTTTGATAGAACCCCCCTGAGCTTGGCAATGTTCCTGAGATGGAAAAAACACGTACGGGTCAGAAGTTTTATGTGTTTGTCTAGTAGCATAGACTGATCGAAAGTTACACCAAGGTTTTTTATGTTTGCCCTTATGTTACCACTGAAAGAACCCAGGTGGCTTGCTACCTTAGAGGCGATGTTATCAGCCGCTAAGATCAAGACTTCCGTTTTTGATGCATTGAGCTGCAGGAGGTTGCTTGACATCCACTCAATTGCAGACAGACGTGTGATGAGGTCAGACATTAAGGGGTTAAAACCGCAAATCCCGGCAATTTCTACCAGAGCCTCCGCCATAGAGCATCGGCATTTTCGGCAGGTTATTTTTATGCGGCTGTTAATCTGGAGATCAACAGACACTAGTGGCCCGTGCAAATTATTATATAATCAGACAACGTCCGTTAAAAAACATTATAACACATATAATGAGAGAAGTTCTGCAGTAAGGAGAGGCATTTCACCGACGATAGGTGGCTCTGACTTTTATGTACAGTTGACGGAGCATTTTTACTTTACACGACACTGTTCAACACTTAATTCTGCTTCACTCTTTAACTGAACAACCGTGGATGTCTTGAAAGACCCTTTCGTTAAAGATTTTGAAGACATCCGCATTCTTGTGACTCGTAAATACCACGCTTGTTATGTTTTGGTGTGGACTGCGTTCACACCAGAGATTAACCGCTCCAGAGTTCACTTGCAAGCGGTCTGAGACCACCTCTTTTAGGCGGACCAGAGTCCAGTTGTTTAGTTCACTTCAGAGGTCTAGGAATGCGTTCACACCGACCCAAACGAACCGCACCAAGCGGTGAAACGCACCAGGGTTCGATTCAACCGGACTATACAAGGCTGGTGTGAAAGCGACCTTATTTTATCTTTCTCTTTTTTAATCAGTCAGGTAACCAAAAGCAAAGTCTTCTTTTATATTAAACATTAATAAACAACAGTTGATGTAAAACACTCATCCTGTTAATCAGACTTTGATTGGAAAAGCAATGGAGAAGAGACTACAGTATCTCGTCAACATTGGCCTCACAGATGTTAAGCAGTAAACAGTTACTCATTTGCAATAAGGAAAAATGTGCGATAAGGCAGTCATTAATGAAAAAGAACACCCTGAAGTTATTGTTTTAATGTTGTTCATTATTTTCTTTATCAGATTGAGTGGCTGTAACCTCTCAAAGAGAAGCTGTGAAGCTCTGTCCTCAGTCCTCAGCTCCCAGTCCTCTAGTCTGAGAGAGCTGGACCTGAGTAACAACGACCTGCAGGATTCAGGAGTGAAGCTGCTGTCTGCTGGACTGGAGAGTCCACACTGTACGCTGGAATCTCTCAGGTCAGGATTCATCAATAAGTTAAACTTATATGCCTTTTTAGTCATGTATTCTGTACCTGCTGTGTTTATTTATTTATTTAATTTCATTATCTTTGCTTTTTATGCCTGTTTTTAAATGCCTTTTTAATAATGTAGTTATGCTGTATTTGTTCTTAACCTGTTAAGCACCAAGCCTGTTTTTCATGTTTCAGGCTCGAAAATGACATGCCCAAAACAAATGACTACAACCTAACTTCTAAAAGGGTTATATGAATAATTTCTTTTATCAAAGCAAGGTTACATCTGTGAGTTGGATGTAGAAGTGTCAGAATCAATATAAATGTTTTTTATTTTAAAGAAAATTCAGATTTTACATAGTAAAAAACTGTAAATTATAGTGTCCGTCCAAACATTATTTTTTACAGATAGTGAAAACTACCCTTGGATGATGGGTTAGTAGACTAAAAGCTTTAGGAATCCAAAGTACAACATATAATAAGTACCCTGTATCAAGATTGATGCAAAACAAGTGACATTTGACCTTTTTAGAGAGGTTTAGCCCAAACCACCCCACCTCTGAGGTGATTTGAGTGAAAATGTTTTTTTTTTCATATCTCTGGCCCCCCTTGCTCGATTTTGATGGTTGACACCTCTTTCTGACCGTTAGAGCCAATAGAATCGAAGGGGGAGGCCCCCACACACACACATTGTGAAGAGAAAAGGTGGGGGCTGTGCGCATGTAAATGTAGAGCAGAGTGGAGCTATCTCTCCCTCTGGCATTTGGAAACTAAAAAGCAGTTTTATTGCTTATGGATTATCAGAAATAATTTCAAAGAGGGCACAGATACATTGGATGAACCTATGGATTAACTGCAGCATCGTTTTTGTATCATTTTAATGCCATTGAAGACCAGTTTTGACCAAGGTAAGCCATGTTAGCGTTTCTAGCTACTTAGCTCCACATGTTATGATGTACGCTTTCGTTTATAGCGTCGCAAATGTTTATCACTGAGTGTTGAGGTTTTTTACACAGATTCAGTGTCTCCAGGAAACCAAAAACGAGTGGTTGGCTGTGCATCTAGGATAAGTAATAAGGGAGTTATTGTGAGTTTAAGTGCCGTTTTAGGTTAAATTTTTTCGCTCGTAGCTAATTCAGAGGCTGAGTGCTAGCATTGTGGGGTTTTTTTGGAGAAAAAAAATTAAAAAGATCAGTTAGCTGAGTTTCTTCCTGTTACATGGATATAAAACATTCATAGTTTTATTAAATATTAAGATTCCTTAGACGTTGTTTCCTGCAAATGACGCGTTTATCCGCCCGGTACCGGGGGGGCCGTGCGTAACAGGTTAATGTCTTTTGCTTTTAATCTGTAAAGCACTTTGAATCGCCACGTGCAGAAAAGTGCTATATAAATATTGCCTTGCCTTGCCTTGCCTTGCCTTGCCTTGCCTTGCCTTGCCTTGCCTTGCCTTATAGCCAGTTAAATTGCGATTTACATTAATGATGGATAAACTCATAACCTTTTCAATAACATGTGTTATTGTTTTTTTACTCTCTTGTTTGAACTTGTTTGTGTTCAGTCTGTCAGGCTGTCTGGTCACAGAGGAAGGCTGTGTTTCTCTGACTTCAGCTCTGAGATCCAACCCCTCCCATCTGAGAGAGCTGGACCTGAGCTACAATCATCCAGGAGACTCAGGAGAGAAGCTGCTGTCTGCTGGACTGGAGGATCCACTCTGGAGACTGGACGCCCTCAGGTATTATAAACATATACAGTGGAGGAAATAAGTATTTGATCCCCTGCAGATTTTGTATGTTTGCCCACTTATAAATACATTAACAGTCTATAATGTTAATGGTAGGTTTATATAAACATTGAGAGTAAGAATATCAAAAAGAAAATCCAGAAATTGACATTATATAAAAGATAAACATTTATTTGCCTTCAACTGTGGGAAATAAGTATTTGATCCCCTTGCAACAAACAAGGATTCTGGCTCCCACAGACCGGTTGAATGATTCATCTTCCTTTAAAAAAGTACTCCTAATCAACTTGTTAGCTGTATACAAGACACCTGTCCACAGAATCAATCAATCAGATTCCAACCTCTCCACCATGGGTGAGACTATAGAGCTGTCTAAGGACCTCAGGGACAAGATGGTAGACCTGCACAAGGCTGGGATTGGCTACAAGACCACCAGAAAGCAGCTTGGTGAGAAGGAGACAACTGTTGATGTGATTATTTGGAAATGGATGAAAGACAAAATGACCATCATTGCCGTCGGTCGGGGGCTCCACACAAGATCTGGCCCCGTGGGGTATTGATGATCATGAGAAAGGTGAGGGATCAGCCAAGAACTTCACAGGAGGAACCTTTTAATGATCTCAAGGCAGCTGGGACCACAGTCACCAAGAAAACAATTGGTAACACACGACACCATAATGGATCAAATCCTGCAGCGCCTGATGGTCCCCCTGCTCAAGAAGAACATGAACGAACTGTCTGAAGTTTGACAATGAACATCTGAATGATTCAGAGAAGGCTTGGGAGAAGATGATGTGGTCAGATGAGACTAAAATCAAGATCTTTGGCATCAACTCGACACGCCGTGTTTGGAGGAAGAGGGATGCTGACTATAACCCCAGAACACCATCCGTCAGTGGAAACATTCTGCTTTGGGGGTGTTTCTCTGCTGAGGGGACAGGAGGACTTCCTGCATCGAGGAGAGGATGGACGGGGCCATGTCCTGTGACATCTTGGCTGATAGCCTCCTTCCCTCAGCCAGGAATATGGGTCATGGACGGTTCTTCCAGCAGGACAACAAACCTGAACATACGGCCAAGGCAACACAAGAGAGGGCTAAAGAAGAAGCACATTTAGGTGATGGAGGAGCCTAGCTAGTCTCCAGACCTTAATCCCATAGAAAATCTGTGGAGGGAGCTGAAGCTCCGAGATGCCAAGCATCAGCCTCAAAACCTTCAGGATTTGGAGAGGATCTTCAGAGAGGAGAGGACCACAATCCTTCCTGAGATGTTCACAAACCTGGAGACCAACTACAAGAAGCGTCTGACCTCTGTGTGACCTCTGTGTGTCCAACAAGGGTTTCTCCACCAAGAACTAACACATGTTTTGCAAGGGGATCAAATACTTATTTCACTCAGTTAAATGCAAATACATTTTTATCTTTTATATAATGTCAATTTTCTTTTTGATATTCTTTCTCTCACTGTTTACATAAACCTCCCATTAAAATGACAGACTGGTCATTTCTTTGTGGGTAAACTTACTAAATCTGCAGGGAATCAAATACTTATTTTCTCCACTGTGTGTATGCCAAGACAATAACATTGAATGGAACTAAAGTCAGTGGATAAGACTCAGGCAGCAGCTGTTACGGTTTTGTATTTATGTTTTCATTTTCCACCTTTGTTTTGAAATGTTTTCCTCCTTGGCCCGTTCTCATGTCTTCAAATGTCCCTCCTCGACTCCCCTCCTCGACTCCTATCCTCGAGACTTAGTCCCGCCCACAGGAGATGCGAGCGGAGGAGCCGAGGAGGGGAGCCGAGGAGAGAGGAGGGGAAGCAGCAGGCAGTTAGAGAAATGAGAACTCCTCTCCTCTGAGCGGTCATTTTAAAGAGACGTCCATTAATGATGACAGGAGACACAGCCCTCTGTCTGATGGACAGATGTGTTCATGACCACTTACATATTTACTTTGATTCATTCACAGTGCGGTATAATGAGACAATGCGGACACACACACACACACACACACACACACACACACACACACACACACACACACACACACACACACACACACACACACACACACACACACACACACACACGTATATATTTATATAAATATATACAATTTCAGAATCAAACAGAGCACTCTCATAATAACGTAACACTATCAGAGACTGGATATATCCCCCCCCCCTCTCCCCTCTCTGGTCACTACAATGAGGGAAATAAATGACGGGCCAAAAGTTGTATTTACAAGTATTAAAAGTAAGCAGAGGACACCAAACCAACTGAGACCTGTCTGTCCGCTGCATCTACGCACACACTGTACCACACACACCTACACACTGTACCACACACACCTACACCACACACACGCACCTACAGCTCCTAAAGCATAATCAGGCTACAGCCGTTGTGTATTTTATTTTGTGAAGCAAGCGATGAAAGCAGTTAATAAAATAATATCCAGGGGATGCATGCAGAGCTGTCATTGGCTGAGATAAGTCCGGCCGTGTGTCTCGACTCTTTGAAACATCACTGTTCCCGGAAATGCATCCACGAAGGAGCCGTGGAGGACCGTGGAGGACCCATCAGTGTATCCTCGGTTATAGCTCCTCCAGAGAGCCTCCTCGACGCTTGATGCTCGGTCCTCGATGTGCATTTAGAGAAATGAGATGTCCTTCAACATGGCGCACTAAAATTAATTTCCGGGTCACTACCGGAGGACCGAGGAGTCGAGGAGTCGAAGAGGGGGATTTGATTAAATGAGAACGGCCCCTTGTGTCTTCTCTGTTCCTTCTTCCTGTGTTTGCCTTCCTGTCGTTAGTTTCCCTGGTGTGTCTGATTGTCTGATTGTGTTCACCTGTTGCCCTTGTGTTTCTGCCTCCCTTACCCCAGCTGTGTCTTGTCTTGTGATTACCCCTCTCTGTATTTAGTCTTGTCTTCCCCTGTGTGCCTTGTCGGTTCATTGTTGGTTTTTCCTGTCTCCCTCCATGTCAGTCACGGTCAGTTTTTCGGTAAATGTTTTTTCCTTGTGCTTTCGTTTTGTTTCAAGTCATGTTTTTTGTCATCAGCTTTTGTAATAAAGCTCGTTTTTGTTTATAGACCTTTACCCTTTTTGTAGTCTGCATTTGGGTCCTACCTTTTTCACGCATCATAACAGCAGCTCTGTGTTTACAGAGAAGACACGACAACAAGAAATACATCTTTATCATTTTAGATTCTGAACTCGATTTTAATGCTCATTTTAATTTGCTGACCAAAACTGCTTTTATCATTTTGGCAATATAGTCAGGGGGACATTTACTTAGTCGGCAAGTTTCACAAAATCCATCCAACAACATAAACCTACAGCAGAGACCATCCCACTCCTGATGGACACGATCTACACTGGCTCCTGTATCTGAATGGAGTCTGAAGTGCTTCTCCTATTTTGAAAACACTAAATGGCCCCTCCCTCTGTTAAAAACAATGATGGACTATCAGATGTCCTGTGAATTAATAATAATAATAATAAATGGTATGTGTAAAGCACCTTTCATTGCTCAAAGCAAACCCAAAGTGCTGTGCATGAAAGATGCTTTTAAATAAAGTTAATTTATTTTCCTCTTCAGATTCCAGGTAAGAAACACTCCATGACTGCTGCTAGCAGATGCTGAGGGAACACTAACTGAACACTGATCAATTCTTACATCTTATTTTCTGATCAATAATAATTGAAGTTAATGAGCTTTATTTATCGGCTAATAATATGTTCGACTAATCTAAAATGATATCGTGAACATATAGGTTCATCTGTGGAGGATAACAAAGCTCTGTGTTTGAGAGTGATGTAATGTCCATGTTTCCATGCTGCTCTGACCCCCCCCCCCCCCCTTCTTTCAGGATGGAGCCTGGTGGAGTCCGATGGTTGAGACCCGGTCTGAGGAAGTGTGAGTGTGGTTTAATTTGATTCATGAAAACAAAGCAGACACCATCTTCAAATGTAACCTTCATCATCAAAGTGTCAATAAATGAACAGCTGATAGATTAATAACTGCTGCTGTGTCTCTCATCAGATTCCTGTGAACTCTCACTCGACACAAACACAGCACACAGACAACTCAAACTGTCTGACAACAACAGGAAGGTGACATGTGTGGAGGTGGAGCAGCCATATCCTGATCATCCAGAGAGGTTTGATTACTGGCGTCAGCTGATGTGCAGAGAAGCTCTGACTGGTCGCTGTTACTGGGAGGTCGAGTGGAGAGGAGGGGTTACTATATCAGTGACTTACAGAGGAATCAGGAGGAGAGGCGCCAGTGATGACTGTTTGTTTGGAGGGAATGATCAGTCCTGGAGTCTGATCTGCTCTGATGGTCGTTACTCTGTCAGGCACAATAAGAGAGAAACACACATCTCCTCCTCCTCCTCCTCCTCCTCCTCCTCCTCTCGTAGAGTAGCAGTGTATCTGGATCATCCTGCTGGCTCTCTCTCCTTCTACAGAGTCTTCTTTAACAGACTGACCCTCCTCCACACCTTCAGAACCACATTCACTGAACCTCTTTATGCTGGGTTTGGGTTTACAGTTTGGTCTGGTTCCTCAGTGTCTCTGTGTCCTCTGTAGGAGGAAGAGTCTCCTCCTGTTCCAGAAACGTCCTCCCTGCTGCCCAGATAGTTCAGTCTGTACAGGATCACAGCTGATGTTAGTTAGACCAACGTTGTTTAAAAAATATATTTCCATCTATTTGTTTTTAACCATGGTGTACTTTTTATGTGTTTTGACTTATTGTGCTTCTTTATTATTAATAATGTCTTCCTACTTTGTTATATTATAAAATACAGTCTACTCTGTTCACTTTATCTGCACTTTACTTCTTTTGATGTAATAATGTAGATTTCCACTTTTTGGGACGAATAAAGGAATTCTGATTCTGAAAATATGCTTTTGCTTCAGATTCAATATATTGGCTGTGATTCAGGAAAGTGCTACAAACATCACTTCACACACAAATACAGATAGAAATCAAACAATCAAATGTATACTATAGGACAGTAAACCAAAAATATCGTTTAAAACTGGAGAGATTAAAAAATATGCATGAATAAATAAATGTTAACTAGGTAAAATAAGATATGAATGAACAACAAAAATAAAATACGTTACATTCATTTGTTATTGGCTATGGTAGGTTATTGGTTGTTCACATACTTATTTGATTATTAAAATGTAAACCGATCTTTTTCATATGGGTGTTTTACGGCCCGTCCACACAGCGGCTTTGGAAAAAGCTTGCCGGCGGGCGTGTCTGAAGCTCGACCAACAACCAATCACATGAATCTCCCGCCCCTGACACACAAGCAGTGGTTTGATTGGCTAGAGCTTGTACTGGCATATGATTTGATTGGCTGACGCTTCCACCAAAAGCTTCAGAAGCTTCAAAAGTTGAACATTGCTCAACTTTTGCAGCCTGAAACGCCAGGAAAGCTCCGCTCTGCTTCCCACAATGCAGTTCGGCGAAAAGTGACGTCACCCCATTCAAAGTGAATGGGCAGAAGCGTTGGAAGAAGCTTCCAACGCCGCTGTGTGGACGGGCCGTTAGAGTTTAAAGTAAACAGATATGGTTCTAAACTGTATTGAAGTAAACATGTATTATTTTGAATTGTATTTTAGTGAACATGTATTGTTTGAACTGTTTTAAGTAATCACATATATACATATTGTCTTCTCACTTACAACTCACTGACCCAGAGATCCTGTTACACACACATACACCTCCTTCCACCAGCACACACACATATTCTTTTCAAGGTTCTTTCTGGGCATCAATATATCTGTGTACAATGTTTGGTTGTCTGGGAAAGAATAGTTTGTGTGAAATATTCCTTGGGAAAGTAAAGGAGTGAATACAGGTGCAGAGATAAGATTGACTCTGTCCTTGTGTACTTCCGAATCTCACGCTCTGCTCAGAAGAAAACATACTTTTTCTCAGAACTCTGATTCGCTGTATTGGACCCGACCAGAAGTGAATCCAACCAGTAAAAACACCTGGGGGAGTGAGCAGCTCACACAGCTCCTCCCCACGGACTCTCTGATTCGCTTCGGAGTAAAATGGGAAGGAAGAAGTCAACACATCTCCGCCCCAAAATATGGATATGAATACTGTTGTTTTTGCATGTAAAATGCTTCCTGTTTTCTGACTGGCTGGTCCCGATACCTGTATCGCACAGCAGTGGAAATTGAAAGTCCGGAGTACTCTGTAATCTTGTATACGTGTTTTGTTTCTTACCAGTAAAATCAGATTATTGTTATAACCTTTATTCCGGTGTTTTGAATTCTTTCTTTATTAAATATAACCAGCCTCATCTAATGAACGGCGCGTAGCGGAGGGGGGCTTCAAGCCACCATCCAAAGTATTTGCTATAACAATTATGGTGACCTGCGACGTGGTGAGTGCTGATCTCTAGAAAGGAACACCGACAGCCAGCGGATGGAATTCAGTCCAGGGGAGGACACCTCGACACCGTTGACAACTAAACCATGGCCATATACAAAAGGTGAGCAGACACCTGTTTTGACTACCAAAAATCTGTGATTGATTATACTACAACATTTTAGAGTTGTCAGCGGCGTTCTCAGTGTTCTTAGTCACGGTAGGAAATACAATACATATTCTAGTTGGGAAAGTGCTTAGAGTCAGGTAGAGCATTCCTGTACCTAAGGCACAAAGTGTTTGTAAGAGGCGGGTAGCTAAGTCCCGTGCCTTAACTCACTAAAGAAAGACTGCAAGTACGTAAAAAACAGATGGGTTAAAATCCCCGTAAATCAAGTAAAGATTATACGGTTGTCTTGTTAGTGCTTTAATGAAGACTGCGAGGGCGTAAAAAACAGATGGGTTAAAATCCCCGTAAATCAAGTAAAGATTATACGGTTGCCTTGGTAGTGCTTTAAATGTATAGAACTGCGAGGACGTAAAAAACAGATGGGTTAAAGTCCCCGTAAATCAAGTAAAGATTATACGGTTGTCTCGTAGGTAAAAGGTTGTTATAAAGAACTTCCTATTGAATAACAATCGAGTGGGCAATCCCTTTTTGAAAATTGCTAGAATTGTTATATGTGGGTGATACGAGAGGAGGGATACGCGACTTCCAACTAACCATTTGGAACGACCGAATCTCATCACAACTCTTGCTGTGGGGTTAATCAGGCTCATTAAACGTGACGATAAAGAGATTTTGTTGACTGGGTTCCGACTCCTTGCCTGAAGCCGCAGCCGCCGTAAGGGGGTTGTAGAAGCTTGCTTCAGGAAGTCACGCTATCTGTTGAAATATACATCGCACAATAAAAATCTGCCTGACTGTATGGGGATAAATATATGTAAAACTGCAAACATAATTTAAGAACACCACTCTGTACACAGTACATACTTAGAAAAGAAGTAGTACACGGAGATAGAATTCAGATAGTACGAAGTCTGTATAAGGGAATAAACTCTGTGTGATTTTTTACGTCAAATCTATGTAATAATTGAGAGAAAATTATAGAAGGAGAGTTGTGTGGAAGACTGTGCAGAGTCTGCACCAGAGAGGGGAAGCTCATTCGTGGTCAGCTGCTGCCCTCTGATGGCGAACAGGGTGTGTAACAATATTCTACACTGTTTCACGCTGGACAACTTTAAATTTCGGACAGGGCATTCCAATAAATATAATAAGGACGTTAAGAGTAAAGACAAGAATTGTCTAGTATATTAAATAAATACAAGCGAACACATATCAACATAGTCAGATAATAGAAACGAGGTCAATCATGGAAGGAGAGTTTGAAAAGAGTGATATAAGCGTTCCAATTTCCGGAAGCTTCCGCGAGCAATGGGAACAGACTGAGAGATTGATTTTCAGTGGAATCAAAAAAAAAAAGTATTTGTGGCTGAAGTGAAGCTCATTCCTGGTCAGGTGCTACCATTTGGTGGCCAACAGGGTGTGGCACAAAACAAACAGAGACTAATGGTAAATTAAGGTTTGGCTCCATCTGCTGGACATATTGTATATTATATTATATTTAGAATTTGAACGAGAAGAACAGTGGGGGCAGACAGAGAGATTGATCGTTAGTGGGATCAAACTGGGGGACCGGAAGAAGGCTGATATTTAATGACTGATATATAAGTAATAATAATATATAATATATAACTGATATTTAATAACTGATATATAAGGCTCGATATTTCTGAAAATGAGAACACCGTTAACGGCATTCTATTTCAGAAAAAGGGGGGATATAGGTCAATACTGATGTACATAAGTATCACACTGGACAGAGTTGACAGTTCCAAATGCTCGTCATGAAGTCCACTGACTTGCTGCCCGCCATAACAGATGACACTCTTAAAGAAGCACAGGAAGCAGGCTCTTTACTGCTTTGCAAGAAATATAGTACTCAGAGAGATGTGCTTTTCCAGACACTGAAGAAAGCAAAATTCCATGACTTGTCGCTATCAGGACTGTTGGGAAAAAACATCAGGCAATATGTATGTGAGATTATTATGTTTTTAAGAGAAATTGATCAATTTAAAATAATCTAGTTTTGGTTCTTTTTTTTTGTTTTGTTTTGTTTTGATTGTTTGTTTGTTTGTTTGGTTTTGTTTTATTTCTTTTGTTTATTGTTTTCTGCATAGTCTCTTGTCCACACTCCAGTCCAGTTGGTGGCGGTAATGCACCTACAAGTTGGTTTGCCAACCGCCAATAAACACTAAAGAAGAAGAAGAAGGCTCCCCACAGGATAAATCAGTATGGTTAGACAGGGGAGCTACCAAGAAGGACGGGATATGGCTCTCCCCAGATGGGAGACCTGTCCTGCCCCCAGGGTGGATGATTGATTGATTGATTGAAAAGTTTATTAACAGCTTGTATATTGGGTACAGTACAGTACAGCTCAAAACATACAATTGTTAAGGGGATGCAGACCAGAGAAAGACTTTCGTCTTGTTTACATCAGGGTCCCCCATTTCCAATTCATCATATCATTTAAGACATATAAGACATATTTGACATACAGATGGCTTATTTACAATTTACATACAGGTGGTTTTTTACATACAGATGGCTTATTTACAATTTTCATTTTAGATTTCGTTCTAATACATCCTAACCGGACATTTAAGACATACCAAGTCTACAGATATACAGTTAGTAACAGAGTCTAAAATGCGAGTATATACATAGATGGGGGGGGGGAAGCTGTCCATTGTACGACAGGTTGAGATTTGTACCATTACCGGGGCCAGTTTTGCAATGCTTTCCCCCGAAGGTGCTCTTTAAGAGAGGTTTTGAAGGTAAGTATAGTTTTACTTTCCTTTACAGTTGTGGGAAGAGCGTTCCACCTTGATGTGGCATAATTGCGAAACGTGTATTCCCCTTTTTTTTGTGCCAAATCTGGGTTTTACATGATTTGTGGAGCTCCCTCTGGTGTTATGATCATGGTATTCCTTGACCTTTGGGAAGAATTTTGACATGTACATGGGTACCATAGAGGTGTAGTGGATCTTGTAGACCAGGCCCATTGCAAGTAGCTGTACTCTGTCGTCTACTCTAAGCCATCCTAGGTTGTCAAAGTGGGCAGAGGTGAGGTGGGTTCTAGATGAAAGGTCAAGCAGTAGTCTGACCAGTTTATTTTGCGATGTTTGAAGTTTTATTTTTAGCGCCTTG